TTTATGATGTCCTCCAGCTGAATGTGCTGCACACAGGCCGCCTCATGATTCAGTTGGCACGATATTCGAGATATCGCAGTATATTTTCATGAAGAAAACTACTCACAGGGGCTGTCGAAGAGTTATCAGCAACCTTGTGAGTAGCTTCCCTTATGAAGATATTACCCTATTTGTTCTCGCTGGCTTCACAAGCGCTTCTCTAGTACACGCCGGCTACTTACCCAGCATTGAATCTGCACGTGGCGACAAATCTCACCGACCGTCAAATCCACCAAACTGCCACTCCATTTGTGACTTCGTCGGTCTACATACCTACACCATCAGTTTACTTTTGGAAGTATGGTGCAGCAACATGAAGCTAGCGAACAATGGTCGGAAGTGAGTCCTGTTACGGTTGAATACTCGTGTGTCCACCCATGTCGCCCGTCTTGGTCACATCATACTCTGACGGACCACAGACAGTGAAGTGGGCATCTAACTGCAAAGTGGAAGGCGGAACAGAGTATGGAGTTTCAATACCCTGAAAAGTAAAACGCCAAAGTAGTTCGGGATATACTGTCGGTAATGTCGCAGCTGAGATTGATGAATTGGCCGTCCGAAACCAAGAGTCGCTAACTGTCGGCAGCCTTAGACAACCTCTATCTCGTTTTCTGTCTGATTCACCTGGTCTGTCATAAAAGGATATACGAATTGCATCTGGACACTCAGTTCGCGTTGCTGAATTATTTTGGTGGTGTCGTTGCAGTAAACCTTGTTCCGATGAAATTAGCGAGTCTGTTCAAATGCTGCTGAAATCCCCTCAACAGCCCAGGGCCGGTTTCGGCCTTGTTGGGGCTCATCAGGTAGACGCAGTTCCTGAGTTTCCGCCAACCTTATGTTCTACTTGAAACCAAATTGCACGAAATTAGCGAAGTACACTCATTTGCAAACAAGTTTGGTTTTGCGAGAGGCTCACCTAGAACCCAGCCGAATCTCTCGTTTGTAATGTCTCCAGGCAACTGAATGTGCTGCACCAGGCTGCCTCATGTTTCAGTTGCTACGCTATTCGAGATATCGCGGTACATGTATATTCATAATGCACTAATCATAAGGTTGCTGAAAATTCTCCGACAGCCCACGACCGGTTTCCCCTTAGGGCTCATCAGGTAGGTGCAGTCCCCGAGTTTCAGTCAACCTTTTGTTCTACTTGAACCCAAATTGAACACATTTCGACAAATACACTCATGGGCTATCGAAGAATTTTCAGCAACCTTATAGGTAGTGCATTATGAATATACATGTGTCGCAATTTCTCGATTATCGAGGCAACTGAAACATGAGGTGGCCTGCTGCAGCACATTCAGTTGACTGGAAACATCACAAACGATTGATTCAGCTAGGCTCCGGGTGAGTCCCTCGAGAGAGTATTTTTGCTAAGTTCACATACTATGTTAGGCTTCGCTTGCTGTCCGTGCGCCGTCGCTGTTCAAGCAAACAAGCTAATAGCTGTACATCGATGTTATCTGATGAGGTAGTCTGTTCGCGAACTTTGACACACGGATCTAGGTGAGGTTTTCACTGATCAGTCTGCTACTCAAGAAACGCCGCTCGTTACCCACTCAGTAAGACCATGCAAACGGTTTTGACTCGGTGGGCAGTTGACAGCAGTATCCACGTTAGACCCTGCTTCGAGTGACAGCAGCTGGTACGCATAGCAAGTCGGGTAGGGAGAGAATTGGCGGCGATGGTCGCTTTCCCGGCTTTTCTCGAAAAGACGGCCCGCAACAGTCAGCTTTCCAGCACGCAGCCAGAATTTAGTCGCGACTGAGTTATTGCCCTAGCCAGCAAGACGATGAACATTTCTTCTTCTTCGCCGTCGAAGGACAGTCTTCTATTTTAACAGTGGCTTCAGCCTAGTACAAATGATTTTTGGCAGCTTAATCACCGAATATTAATTTCATTACTTGAAAATCCAAACTCAATGAATTCAAGTAAGAGCGGGTTTGGCGTTAACTGCAGTACATCCAAATCAGCCTCGCTCGAACACTCATTTCTCCGACCGCCTGGATGGCTGCACTACAAATGTGAAGCATGGTTAGATGGATTGGTGACCTAATCAGTCAGCCAGAGTAACTCAGTGCCTTTAATGCATTAAGTGTAATGCGTTTCCGAGACTCAGAAAAATGAACATACATTGTAGAACTAAGGTTAGGTTTGCTGCTTGTTTAATTTAGCTTTGTATATACAGCTCTGAAATGGCTAGCTGACCAGTATTTTACCACTGGTCATAAATGTAAGGCCGACCGAAATAAAACAAAAGCGATTGAATGAGACCACTCATCGTTCCATGATTCTTAGCAATATCCTTTGGTTTGACAAAATTTAACACGGGGCACACCTTGCAGATTGATTTAACAAGCCTCTGGATGTTTACTGAGATAATTCAGCCGTACGCAATTACTGTTAGAGGCTTTCCTGCACGGTTGGACGAAGCGTCACTCACAGGGCGCAACTATGTTCGCGGTAATATGAAAAAGCCAAAAGTACACCTACGATATGTTACTCGCTGTGTGCGAGTAATAGTACTCGTAGCAGGCTTATTCACAGCTTCCACAATAGACTTGACTGTCACTAACGTCGTGTCCAGTATATCGACACCCGCAATCGACGTTTTAAGTTCACCTGTAGGTCATAAGGTTGCTGAAAATCCACCGACAGCCCACGACCGGTTTCGCCCTTCTTGGGGCTTATCAGGTAGGCGCAGTCCCCGGGTTTCCGTCAACCTGGTGTTCTACTTGAAACCGAATTGCACGAAATTAGCGAATATACACTCATCTGCAAACTAATTTGGTTCTTTCGAGAGACTCACCTGGAACCCAGCTGAATCTCTCGTTTATGATGTTCTCAGGCAACTGAATGTGCTGCACCAGGCCGCCTCATGTTTCAGTCGCTACGATATTTGAAATATCGCGATACATGTATATTTGTAATGTACTACTCATAAGGTTGCTGAAAATCCATCGACAGCCCACGACCGGTTTCGCCCTTCTTGGGGCTCATCAGGTAGACGCAGTCCTGAGAACATCATAAACGAGTGATTCAGCTGGGTTCCAGGTGAGTCTCTCGAAAGAACCAAATTAGTTTGCAGATGAGTGTATATTCGCTAATTCATCTGTAGCTCTTTCGGCACGCATTGCGATATCTTGTGGCAAGTAATCGATCCCTTCAGGAAATAAGGCAACAATGTACCAGCCTGTGATCATCCTTACATCTTATAATGGAACAATGACTCCAAGTAAATCAGGTGTTTTTCTCAGTGACTGACGAATAAAATTCACTGGAGGTTTAACTGCGTTTGAGATCTGACTACGTGATATCACAATAAGGTGTTGTTTAGGAGAATACTATTTTGCCTTATCATATCATTTCCACTGATACAAGGTTCGCCACAGCTGCAACTGAATTGCTATTGGCATTTGAATAGATGTCAACCAGTGTACCCGCATTCTCAGTTGTTCAGCTTCACATATTTCTTGCACAGCCACCATACCTGTTTCTTTCTTCCACAAA